GTCTGCCAGGTTCATTGAGATGCCTGCTGATAGAACTGGTGTTTGGGGATTCATCATGGTGCCCAGCTTCCAGGGGTTTAATGGAGCACCCTAGATCAGCTGGGCCCCTGGGCACCTGTCCCCCTTGGTGGCATCCTGCAGAGCCCCTTTTCCTTTGCCCTCTGTCCCTCATCTCAGCTCGGAGCAGCTAGGCAGATCCGGGTTCTCCTTGTTCTAGAAATACAGTGACCCTGGCTCGGAGCTTCAGCAGCTGCTCGAGGTGGCAGCACTGGGGTTTCACCCACTTCCTGACCTCACTCCCGTTGCTACTTTTAGATGGCACCCCAAGGCGTGTTCCAGCTCTGCCCAGGGCTGCCATGTGCAGACACTGCCCAGGGGTGGGAAACCAGTTCTGCTCTGAGTCTGCCCTGGGACACGTGCCAGCCATCTCTGCTCCACAGGCTTGCCCCTGGGTGACGTCCCCATGGACGGCATGGCTGTGACCGACCTGGGCCCTGTGGTGCTCACCCTGCTGAAGACACCAGAAGAATACGTGGGCCAGAACATCGGGCTGAGTACCTGCAGGCACACCGCGGAGGAGTATGCCGCTCTGCTCGCCAAGCACACCGGCAAGGCTATACAGGCCGCCAAGGTGCTGGCTCCCTGGCGCTCAAGCAGTCTCAGACCTTCATAACCTCCCAAGGGGATTTTGGGGGTGTGGTAAATAATATCTAGGGCTGCACAAAATCTAATTTTATTTTAATTTACTTTTTGGAGAGATTTTTCTATAGGGTGCATGCACTCCCCAGAGAGAGAAAGTGAGAAATCACCCCCCAGGGGTATGGCCATGCCACATCCCTTCTCTTCCATTTTCCTCTTGGGATTTTGGGCATGCACACACACACCCGGTGTAAATTTTAAGCCGCTGGGTCCGGGGCTTGAACCGTGGTCAACCAATGGGAGTCCAGCGATGTAACCATTACACCATTCTGCTGGTCCCAATTTTATTCTAGTTTTTTGGAGAGAGCCTGCGTGTGTGTGCTCACCAGAGAGAGACAGAGTGAAAATGAGAAATCCGCCCCCAGGGAAGATGGCCATGCCACAATCCCTTCTCCATTTTCCTCTTGAGATTTTGGGCATGCACACATAGGTGTCTGACACTGAGCACAAAATCTAAACTCTAAACTTGTGTGTTAGTTGTCAGCACTTACATCTTGCTGTTCCTGGGAGCCATGTGTGGCCTCAGAGCCAAATCTGTTTCAGGAGCTCAGCCCAGGGGAGAGAGAGGTTTCCAGGAAGAGGGACGAAGAGGAGTTGGGGTGGGAGGGGTAAAGGCACAGGGCCTGCTGGGATGTGCTTTGGAGGGGGCAAGGAAGGGAGGCCCAACCCTGATCCCCCATGGCCTGGCTGGATGGGCAGAAGGCCCACTGTCCCACTCTCCCTGCTGGCCCTCAGCCTTCCTGTCCAGACCTCTGGGTACCTTGTCTCGAACCACCTCTTGCTTGCATTACAACAGTAAGACCTGTCTGTTGAGAGCTGGTAGGCCCAGCTCTGCCGCCGTCAGCCAAGCAGTGGACTGTGCTACTGGATCCCATGTGCTGGCCACTGTTCATGCCCTGGGCCCAGCTGGCCTGAAGACTCACCAGGTCATAGATGTGCACCCCGAGTCCTGGCAGGCTGAAGGACTAAGGACAGGGGTCATAGCCTTCTCTTTCATGTGCACACACGTGCTCTAGCATGAGTTTAAAAACTCATGAATCTGGGGTACACAGTTGTTGAAAAATGTAGGTCACCACAGAGCCATAGACCTGATGCCAGACCGTGAGGGAGAAGGCAGTACAGAGAGGTCCAGGACCAGAGTCCTGGACCCAGGTTCTGGCTCTAGCCCTGAGCCCCACCAATACATGAGCATGGGCGCATTCTGCTCATGCCTCAGCTTCCTCATCTGCAAAATGGATGTCTTAGTGTCAGCAGGTGGCATAGTGGTTAAGGCACCAGACTCCCACATGACCAACTGCAGTTTGAGTCCTAGATCTGGTGGCTTGAGAATCACACTGGGCACATGTGCATGTGTACCCAAAACCCCAGGAGAATGAAGGAGAAGGGACTGTGGCATGGCCATCCCCCTTCTCACTTTCCCTCTGTCTTTTTCTGATGTGCATATGCGCCCTATAACAAAAATCTTTAAAAAAAAAAAAAAAAGCGTCAGGAACAGCAGATAACTGAATGCTGCGGCTGACCTGGCCAACACTCTCCATCGGTCCAGGGTCTCCAGCACCATTAGAAAGAGAAGGGGGCGCCTGAAGCGCCAAGACTTAGCACTTCCCACCCACCTTCCTGAGCGCCCCCCGTCCAGCAGCGCTGGGCACTACTTGCCACTCACATGGGGCGGTGCACGCTCCCAGCTCCTGGCTGGCTCCCCCTAAACCAAAAAACCCCCCCCTAAAAAAAAAAAAAAAAAAGTGTCTCAACCACTTCCTTGGGTGGTTGTGAGGATGAAATGAAATGAGCGTGTAAAAGCTTTGTTAGCACCAGACCTGGCACCTGGAGAGCATGCACTGGACAATCGTGTTGCTTAAAAATGGAAATAAAGGCCTTGTAGTGGGGACCTCAGTGGGAGACTGAGAGGCCATCAGTGGCTCAGGTGGGGAGACTCAGCTCGTGCCTCCTTGGGTGCCGAAGATGCGGACGTGACAGGTTCCCTCTGCTTCCAGACAGCTCCTGAGGAGTACGAGCAGCTGGGCTTCCCCGGGGCCCGGGACCTGGCCAACATGTTCCGGTTCTATGCCATGAAGCCCGACCGCGACATCGAGCTGACCCTGAGGCTCAACCCCAAGGCCCAGACGCTGGACCAGTGGCTGGAGCGGCACAAGGGGGCCTTCGCCCAGCTGTGACCTGCCCACCTGTAGCCCCGAGCCAGGCACGGGAGGCACAGAGGCACAATTATCCTTTCTCATGTTACAAAATAAAAACCTTTTAAATAAAGCTTTTGTTCTCACAGATGGCTCTCAGAAGAAAAGGGCTCTGTTCTGGGACTGGGCTGGGTGGCAGCTGCTGAGGCATTGAGGGGCAGCATGGCTGTAAGGGGCTTGCAGGCCAACGGGGTCAGTTGCTAACTGAAGAGGCATCTGGCCCTGTAGGTCAGTGGTAAAGGGAACTGGATCCCATGTGGCCATCTGCGGCTGGAATTCTGGCTTGCTTGGCAGCTTCAAAAGCCTGCCAGGTGCATGTGAGCATGCCTTATGTCCCAGTGGAACGGAGAGGTGGAGAGGGGGTTGCAGTGTGACCATGCTCGTTAGGAGGTGCTTTCTCCCTCCTCTGGTGACAGCACTTGTCCAATGGCACTTAAAAAAAAAAAGTTTTGCCAAACAAAAGGTTTTGCAAAGTGGAGCATTCCAGCTGGGCCCAGCCCAGCAGCTCTGACCAGCACCCCTGCTCCCGCTACACCTGGAATTCACTAGGCCAGGGACAGAGAGGAGGCCACTGGGAGCAAGGCCCCAATTCCTCTCCAGAGTAGGGGGCCACTTGCATATTCATTCTTGGAACTGAGACAGACTTGGGTTTTTAAAGTTTTTTTTAAGGTTTTTTGCCATAGGTTGTGTGTGCTTGCCACAGAGTGAGAAATCACCCCCAGCAGGGATGTCACAACACAATCCCTTCTGTCTCCTCTCAGGATTTTGGACATGCACACACACAACTGGTGTGATGGTCAAGCTGCCAGGACACACATGCCTGGCATGATTTTCAAATGGCCAAGTCTGGGACTCCAACTGCGGCTGGCATGTAGGAGCCCAGTGCCCGTAACCACCACATAACTTGTTGGCCCCATCTCACCATCGTTTTTTTTTTAAAGAATTGTTTAACTTTATTCATTAATTCATTTTTTAAATTATTCGATCATTTATTCTAATTTGACCAGAGAGAGAGAGAAAGTGAGAAAGCAGGCCACCAGGTCCAGGATTCAAACTGTGGTCGGCCACATGGGAGTGTCCAGCACCTTAACCACCATGCCACTTGCTGGTCCCCATTAATTCATTTCTAAAAAATAATTTTTGAGAGGTTTTTGCTATAGGGTGCATGCACTCGCCAGAAAGACAGAAAGCAAGAAATCACCCCCTGGGGGAATGGCCACGCTGCAATCTCTTCTCTGTTCTCCTCTTGGGATCTTGGGCATGCATGCACATGTGCCCAGCATGAGTTTAAGCCACCCGGTCCAGGACTTGAACTGCGGTCAGCTACATGGGAGTCCAGCGACATAGCCATTATGCCAACTGCTGGTCCCCATTAATTAATTTAACTTGACCGAAGAGGGACAGTGGGGGCGGGGGAGCAGTGTGAGAAAGCAAGTCACCACGTCCAGGACTCGAACTGTGGTTAGCCATGTGGGAGTCCAACGCCCTTACCACCACGTCACCTGTTGGCCCCTTTTAAAAAAACAATTATTTAATTTTATTATCTGTTATTATTTTAAAATTTGCTACAGGGCACATGTACTCACCAGAGAGACAGAGATGGAGAGCGAGAGAAAGCAAGCCGACAGGTCCAGGACCCAAACTGCAGTCGGCCATGTGGGAGTCCAACACCCTAACCACCACACCACCTGCTGACCCTGCCACCTTCTTACTGCCCCACCTGGCCTGGTGCCTGCAGGCATGGAGACGAGCAGCAGGCCTAGCGTCACTGCCCTGTTGGCCGAGGACTTGAGGCCTTTCCCTGACAGCTCCGTGCGCTGGGCCCTAAACACACGGACAGAAAAGGTTATGCTCCGTCTTCAGCCTATTTAGCAGGAGAGCCAAGAACACGTGGTGAATAGAGTTCAACTAAAAGCTGCAAAGGACAGGACAGGTGGCAGGGACAGTGTGGCTGTTCCCACTATGGTGGGATGCTTTCTCACTTGGCCTCTCAGGCGAGCCAGTGTGCCCTGCGGTGAAAACCTAGTAAAAAGTAAGTAAGCGAATGGCCCATGCAGAGCTGGGCTGGAGGCTCCGTGAGGGGCTCCGGGCGTGGTCTGGCACACCCACAATCCCGGCTGGCTGCAGGGCTGAGGGTGCACTGTGGTGTGCCCACATCATCCAGAGCATCTCCTCCACAACAGATCTAACGAGTGGGTCCACAGTCACGTGGCCTGCAGCCTCAGTGCCCAGTAGACAATGAGGGTAAGATTGTGGTCGCCTCATAAAGGGGGCCCCTTGGGAATTCAGACCTAGCTTTGCCAGGTGTCAGGACGCTCCAGCTATGGCACTCTGATGTGAGGCCAGTTTAGTTAAACTATAGTAAGCAAGATTTTTTTTTTTAAGGTTTTTGCCATAGGGCACGTGTGCTCATCGGAGGGGAGAGACAGTAGTGGGAAAGAAATCACTCCCTGGGGGGTGGCTACACCATAATGCCTTCTCCTCCATTTTCCTCCTAGAACTTTGGGCACACATGCACACACACATGGCATGATTTTCAAGTCACCTGGTGTGGGACTTGAACCGCAGCCAGCTATGTGAGAGTCCAGCACCTTAACCACCATGCAACCTACTGGCCCCATAAATAAGAATTTTAATGTGAAAAAGATGCAGACTGAAAATAATGAGGGGAAAAACGTTTGGTGAAGGACAGAGTGATTGTGGGGCCCTAGTGAGGCTGTACTGGGTACCTCTCGTGGCATGGGCTCCCAAAGAAAATGTCACAACCAAATTCCGGAATAGTTACATCTAATGTCACCACGGACCAGCCTCCATGACATGTGTAGGCTGGGACCACGTGGAAGGTCTAACCTGAAGGCTGGGTGCAGGGGTGTACACCTGCGATCCCAGCAACTGGGGCCAAGGCAGGAGGATGGTGACAGCCAGGACCCCAGCCATCAGCATACATTTGGGGTGTGAACATGTGGACCAAGTGGCTGCCCCAGAAGCAGCCACCACCACAGGTTGAACCCCATCAAAGAAACAATGACCACGCTGGCTGGAAGTGTGGTTGGGGTGTTGGACTTCCAAGTGGCCTACAGTGGTTCGAGTCCCAAACTTGCCAGTTTGCTTTCTCACTTTCCCTTTCCCTGGTCAAAATTTAAAAAGATAAATAATAGGGACCAGCAGTTAGCGTAATGGCTATGTCGCTGGACTCCCAAGTAGTCAACCGCAGTTCGAGTCCTGAACCCGGTGGGTTAAACTCACGCTAGGCGTGTGTGCGTGCATGCCCAAGATCCTGAGAGGAGAATGGAGGAGAAGGGATTGCGGCATGGCCATCCCCTGGGGGGTGATTTCCTGCTTTCTGTCTTTCTGTCTGTCTCTGTCTGTCTGGCGAGCGCACGTATCCTATAGCAAAAACCTCTCAAAAAAATAAAAAAGATAAATAACAGTAACAAATAAAATTAAATAATTTTTTTGAGAGGTTTTTGCTATAGGGCACGTACACTCGCCAGAGAAACAGAGAGAAAGCAAGAAATCACCCTCTGGGGGGATGACCACACTATAATCCCTTCTCCTCCATTCTCCTCTCAGGATTTTGGGCACACACACACACACATACCTAATGTGAGTTTTAAGCTGCCAGGTCCAGGACTCGAACAATGGTCAATTATGTGGGAGTCCAGCAATGTAACCATGATGCCCCCTGCTGGTCTCCAAATAAATAATTCTAAAACAAACAAACAAACAAAAAACAACAACAAAAAACCAATGACCACAACTTAGGTTTTAAATATCTTTTTTTACAGTAGATAATCTTATTTACACTGATACAGAATCATTTTACATTCTTAAATCAGACACTAGCAGGTGCTTTATTTTAGTAAATTGTAAAGGAAAACAGGAAGGAAGCTATTGAGAAGTGTTCTTTCTTGGGCTGCCTCAGGGCGGCTAGAGGACCTCGAGCATATGGGAACCGCGGTGTGCGGCCCACAGAGCTGGGACCTTAGACTGGGGACCTGAGCTCTGCTCAGCTGACCTGTGGGGACCTTAGACTGCGGGGACCGTGCTTTCCTTTTCTCCACAAGTCAGGACAACAGTGACTCCCGAGAAAGATGTCAGCAGTGCATGTGGGGAGAGCCAGGCCGGGACGGCAGAGGCAGCAGAGCTTGAGAACGTATCAGCCAATGCGTGCCCTCACAGCAGCCGTGGCAAGAGCCCACCGTGCCGACAGCACAACTCGGTGGTGGGGACGGCAGCTGTCACAGGCAGGGTGGGAAGAAGGGCTGTCCATCCTAGTATGGTGCAGGAGCCTCTGTACGTGTCTCCCCAGGCTCCCAAGCACCCACTCTGCAGCTGCTGGGAACTAAAACTAAATACACACCCCAGGAGGAAGGACTGTGGCCATGGCAGAGTCCGCAGGGAGGACACACTGGCAGGGACTGCAGGCCCAGGTCCCGGGTATGGCCTATCAGGGTCACTGGCAGGGACTGCAGGCCCGGGTTCCAGGCGTGGCCTATCAGGGTCACTGGCAGGGACTGCAGGCCCGGGTTCCGGGCGTGGCCTATCAGGGGTCACTGTGGAACCTCCTGGTGGTTTGCTAGGAGGGACATTAATCACTTCTGAACACGGTGCAGCTTAAGGCATCACTTCTAAGCTGTAAGCATGGCCTTTAAGTCTACAAGATCTCCATCACATTCAATTCCAAATGAGAGTGTTAGTGCTGGAGCGAGTGTCCGCCTTCCCTGCCTGTGCTGGAAGCAGAGTCACCCGCCTGCAGGCAGGAACCTTCCGCCAGCCCTCAGGTGCTACGTGGCACTGCCCAGGGTTGTCCACTGTGACCTTTACATGGAGAGATGGGTTGTCATCGTGTGATTTTGCTGTCGCAGTCCAGAGGGCTCTGCAGCAGGGCTCAGCGCCACTGTTCCGGGATCCTCCTGTCTCCCAGGTGCCCTACCCATGAGAAGGGGCTGCAAGCTTCCCAGCCTAGTTTCCAGTGGACCGTTTTCCTGAACCAAAGAAACAAATGGTTATCTTTATCTTGGCAGCGACAGGACACATCTCAAAGCAAAGCTGTTAGTCCTGGAGAGGAGCTGCCAAGAGAGGGTCAGGAGCCCCCACCGCTGGGGACGGGTGTCGGTACAGGTGTTCCTGAGACACCACAGTGAGCAAGCACAACTCCTGCACAGCCCCTCCCCATACACGGCCGTGCTCTGGGTGGGAGGGGCAGCTACGAAGCAGGCAGGAGGCTGAGGAGATCTGAGTTCTAGGCCTGGCTCCGCCACAATTCCCGCTGTGACTCTGCAGGACAAAGAGCCCCTCAGGAGTGGTGTAAGGAGGGCCATGGGGCAGACCTCCAAATCACACTGCTCCAGGACGGGGACCAAGCGAGAGGTCTGATGCTGAGGATGGCTCGGCCCTGCACTACTGGCCGACTTCCACAACAACCCGTTTTGCAGGCTGAGGTCTGGCTCCAAGTGGAGCCAGATTTGTTGCATCTCAGACTGGCATCTCTCCAACTCCAGGGTGGGGAGTGTGGGGCGTGATGCTGGTTAAGGTGAGAGGAAAGGGGGACTAGTTCACAGGGGGTCAATGGGAAAAACCTCAAGGGCCATCCTACCTCGGCTGGGCTATCAGGAGGTAAACATTTTCTTAAGTTTGGAAAGGAGTCCCTCGTCCTCCCCAGCCTCTCGCCTAGCCTTGCTTCCTGTGGAGCTATCCGTGGTGCTGCCACCTGAGCGCAAACAGCAGAGAACTGGTCAGGGCACACCGCCACCACCACCGCCACGCCACATCATGCCCGGACCACCGACCCCACCTGGGTGCCCTGGGCCTGGCTCTCAAGGACAACCAGACACCCCAGAGAAGCCACCCTTCCGGTGGGAGAGGGCTGTCGCACTCTCCAGACAGAGCAAACAAGCACCTGGAGCTGGAGGGTGTCTCGTCCTCATCAGAGAAACCAGAGCAGAGACGGACAGGGACCAGAAGTCTCTAGTCTGACCCACGGGATGGAACTACAGCCAAGTTCCTGGTGCCTTCCAGGCCTGGCCACACAGTTCACACACGCCAGCTTGTTCAGTACTGAGGGTAACTTCATGAGCAAGTTTCACAAACAGGAAAACAACAGAACAAAACAGATGCAGGGACATTAAGTGGCTGACCCCAAGTCACAGAGCCAACAAGTAGGGGGGACGACTGTGTTCACATCCAAGCAGGCTGACTCTAAAACCTCAGCTCTTAACCACCATGCTGAGAACACTGCCACCAACAGAAGACCCTCCCATCTCGACCAGCAGGCCAGACTCCGTCCTGTGCACACATGCCCATAGCGTCTCCCAGACCCCCCCAGAGGACCTGCTGCCAGGCGGAGTCCTCACACGTCTTGTCTGCGGAGGAGCCTGTATCTCACTGAGCGACCGACCGCTCCCCACCTGGGTGACTAACCCCAAGCGTTCCTCGTAAAGGGAAGATGTCGTGCTGTTTCTTCAGGCCTGGGCTGAGCCCCAGAGAGTTCTGCTGCATGAGGCATGACACTGAGGACGGCCATCACCCAGCTCGAGGTCGTGAGAGAGAGTGCAGGCCCACCCTGCATGTCTTATAAGAGGGACATGTAACAATGCAGAGGGTACACAGAGTCCAGGCATGGACAGAGTGAGACAGGGTCACGGGCCCCAGGAGCTCCCAGTCAGGACAGCTGGGGTGGGGCGGGGTCCTCAGCACAGCACTAGTGTCTACTCTGCTCCCTCTACGGACCTGTGACAGCAGCTCCTTCTTCTGACCTGACACCATCCCAGCTCAGTGTGAGCTCAGAGACGTCTCGGTGACCCAAGGGAGGATGCGCTGAGCGACATCTGGCAATTGCCAGAGTGGTGACTGACATTCTGATTTCACCTAGGCACTGCACAACACCTGCGACCCCATGCCACCCTACTGCGGCAAGCTCACAGGCCAGTGCTTCCTGTCCTTCACGTCCTCTTTTACAGACAGGATCCACAAACAAGGAATTTCCCATCACTTCAGCCTCCAAAGACAAGGCAGAGCAAGAGTTTCCAATTTTATTACGTCCTTGGAAAGTGCTAAGTCTTGGCAGGTGCATGTACACCACACGGTGAGATACTGCTGATAGAGCAGCCCCTAAAGACCCAACTCCTTTTCTTTTCTTAGGTTTTAGCCATAGGATGCACATGCTTGTTGGAGAGAGACGAGAGAGAGGGGAGATAAGACATCACCCCCAGGAGGTTTGGGGCACACATGCACATGCACCTGGTGTGATATTCAAGCCGCTGAGTCTGGGACTCAAGCCATGGTTAACCATGTGTGAACCCAGCGTCTGAACCACCATGCCACCTGCTGGCCTTAAGAACCCAACTTCTTAACCACTAGTCCAATGGAAAAGAAAGCCTCTTAGTGACTGCTCTCACCGAATGGTCCCCCAACCCTGAAGCCTTGGTTACCCAGAGGGTTCCACAGCCCTGACTGTATTTCAGCCATGGTGGTGAAAGTCTGAGAGCCAAAAAAAGGATCTGTTTAACTGGTTGGTGGTAAACACACTAACGAACACAACCACAACAATACACACCCAGAAACTCTTCTACTTCCTACCAGAGCAACATACCAACCTCTCCTATTTTAAATTTGGTCAAGACTTATAGGGCCCTTCAGAAACAAGGTATACTGCTGGGAAATCAAAGGGCAAGTAGGGCCAGCATGTGGCATGGTGGTTAAGGTGCTGTATCCCAGGGGCCAGCAGGTGGCATGGTGGTTAAGGGTGCTGAATCCCAGGGGCCGGTAGGTGGCATGGTGGTTAAGGTGCTGGATCCCAGGGGCCGGCAGGTGGCATGGTGGTTAAGGTGCTGGATCCCAGGGGCCGGCAGGTGGCATGGTGGTTAAGGTGCTGGACTCCCATGTGGCCAAAGAGTCCCAGACCCAGCAGCTTGCTTTCTCTTTCTCTCTGGTATCCCAGGGGCCAGCAGGTGGCATGGTGGTTAAGGTGCTGGACTCCCATGTGGCCAAAGAGTCCCAGACCCAGCAGCTTGCTTTCTCTTTCTCTCTCGTTGTGTCCCTCTCTGATCAAATTAAAATAAATAAAGTTAAATAAAGTAATTATTAAAAAATATATATATATATATACACACACAAAAAAAAATGTGCTGGGGAACCAGTAGTTGGTGTAATAGCTATGTCGCTAGACTCCCATGTAGTAGACCACGGTTCAAGTCCTGGACGTGGTGGCTTAAACTCACACTGGGCACGTGTGCATGCGTGCCCAAGATCCTGAGTGGAGAATGGGGGAGAAGGGATTGCGGCATGGTCATCCCCCCTGCGGGGTGATTTCTCGCTTTCTGTCTGTCTCTCTCGTGAGCACATGCACCCTATAGCAAAAACCTCTTTTTTTTTTTTTTTGGAGACGTTTTTGCTATAAGGTGCATGCGATCGCCAGACAGACAGAGAGAGACATAGAGACAGAAAGCGAGAAAACACCCAACAGGGGAGATGGG